AGGCTAGCGGCAGCTTGTTCTGGCCCTCGGCAGTGTTTGCGGTGTGCCCTGGCGCTGCTCCAGTCTGGGAAGGGGTACCTTACAAGCGGTGCACGTCCAGAGAAGTTTAAATACAGAGGCTTTCACTGAGAACAAATAAATAAAGAATAAAGATATTGCCCATGTTTGCAGTAAATACAAAGGGTTGGGGGGCTCTCAGCGCCCCGGTCCTGTCCTGTCGGTGCCCCTGGGCCGGCTGTCGGTGCTGTCCATCCACTCCCCCATGAGGGCCGGCCCGGGGCTCCCGGCGCTCGGTGCCTCCGGTGATCGGTCAGAACCCCCTCCAGACACGGCCCCTGCTGCGGGAGGGATTGGCACCTGCACCCCGAGCTTTAATGCGTTTTCTGCTGGTGCTGAAAGGCAGAAAGTGGGGCAGGAAACGATGGGAGGCGACAGGAGTTTGGTGCAATGAGGGAGAGAAGAGCCTGAGGTGCAAAGTGGGGAGAAGGCGGCTGGACAAGAAATTCGGTGGATTTGGGTCTGGAAGGTGGAATAAAGTGTGAGGGATGCTGGATTGCACCCTGACACTATCGATTAGGGGGAAAAACCCCAAAACCCCATACCCCACAAAAAAAAGTCAGAAAGGCTGGCTTAGTAGAGAAAGGGGAAATGAAGAAGGCATTGAGGCTGGGAGATGGCCTGAGGAGACAGGAGCTCTGCCCAGCAGGGAAGGGCCTCATGGAATGCAATATTCCTGCCTGTGATGCCGTGGAAGAACTGAGGATTTTCAATGGTCGGGCTCTAAGAGACACCCCTAGCTATAGGGGGAGAAGATGAAGTCTGAAGAAGACAATAAAACACATTGACCTGATAATGGGACAGTTGGAGTGTAGATGGTTGATAGGAAAGCAGTTATGCAGTCTGGAGGAAGTGGAAATAATTTGTTATCACAGGGCAGTTAATTTCTCTCAGCTGTGTGCTTGCAATCCGGTACTTTCCCATAGAGTGTCACAGAACCAAAGCTGTCATGTCAGGGCCACCACAGAAACCAGGACATCGATCAAATGAGGGTCCCACATAAGGGCTTTTGTGCTCAGAGATGTTCACTGCTTCTTTGCATTTCTTTTTGTGCTTAGTAACTACACCTAGAGCCCACTCAGCACGTGTTACATACCTGCACATGCACTTGTCTAAAATGGTTGCATGTGACTCTCAGATTCACATAATTTCAAAACAGAGTAAATTTATATTTATCCTTTGGGCTTAATTACCAAATATTTATTTGAAGAAATAAACGTTATATTGAATAACTGACTTGCTGTAGGCTGGAGGGAAATGTCAGTAACAGCAGCACAGATGAAACCAGGAATTCTGAAAGCAGCAAGTCTTCCTCAGCTCCACCACAAAGAATGGGGCATTTCAGAGGCTAGGGAGAGTCCTGCTCTAGGGATTTTGTATTTCCTCAGGCTTCACTCCTTTAGAACAAAGTACTTTTTTTGAAAAGTTACCTCACAAGGAGTTAGTAGCAATCAAATTAGGAGGATTTGACTATTAGGAGACAGACATTGAATTAAGCTTTAATTAATTGGAAGAGGAGAAAATGTTTGGTCTTTTCAGGTAGTTCATGAAGTGGAATGGCACCTTTTGTATCTGCTGGAATATTTACTTCTGGACTTATGAATATACATTGATATGTTCCAACACTCCCTTGTTCAGAATTCTGAATATTTGGATCTCTTGCTTGCACGGTAGGAAATAGGCTCTGAACCAAGTGGATGTTCTGCAGACATAACGGGAAGGCTGATTAACTTGTTTCCTTTATGCCAATTTAGTGAAGCTTGAAATGAAATCTGATGGCAGCAAACATAACAAGCAAATCCTTTTCTGTGTAATAACACAAGAAAAATAGCAAGCAGGGTGGGATTAAAAGAATAGTATAGTTTATTAATTTAGCTGATCCTGGTTTTCTAAGACATTCACATTCCTTACGTGTATTGCTGGATGTGAGAAGGGGGACTGTAATGTTTCTGTACAGCATTATAGCTTTATTGCATGTTATACTGCCTGACATCAGTTATTTTAAGAAGGCATTGACATGTACTGAGAGCAAATATCAAAACATTATAATTTCTTTTTAAAGCTTTAGTTCATTGAGGAATATAATTTCATGCCTAATTTCATTTGCATCATATGCTTAATCCTTCATGAATCCTTTAGCAGTTTCAGCAGTTTAGATTGTATTTTTGTAATCAAACTTTCCTTAGCCCTGGGACTTGCCAAAAGTGATGGATGTGTGTGGTCAGAAGCAAAGTGTCCACTGTTTAATGAAGCACCGAGTAACTTCATGTTTCTGATTCCTGGTGCAGAAAAGTAAAGATTGTGATAAAAAGAATAAAGAGATAATCCCTAGAACATGCAGTAATCATGGCTTTATTCTAATGTATTTTTATTTATTCTTTTAGATATCTCTAAACAAAAAGGCAATTCCTGTATTTTTTTTTCAGGGAAGATTATGGCAGAACCAATTATTCCTTCCCAGGAGGCAGAGAAAGGATTTGGTTCCATTTCAATGGAAGGGGTGGAAGGAGGAATGTATTAATGCTGGCCAGAGAGGTCCGAGAGTCACTTGGCAGAGGGGATGAACCACAGGGACCTTCTTGGGGCTGTGCCAACAGCTGAGCGCTATTCACGAGTTCTTCCCACACAGCCCGGTTTGCAGCCGTGCACTGAGCACTGGGGCTCCGGCCATCGCAATGAAAACCACGGGGTGGCCAGCACGGGGTGACATCGGCAGGGCCTCGGCTGCGTGTGTGACTCTGCTCGGGGGCAGGGAC